TTTGTTAAGAGAGGAAACGTCGTCGGCGAGAATACGGTGTCGATGGCACAAGGGCGGTACGCAGCACCCGAGTGGGCGGCTGGTCCTGTCCCGCGGCGGCCGCGGTCGTCGCCGGGAGGTGAAAGGGGTTCCAGGGTGCCGGTCCCGGACCAGCCGGACGGCGGTGTCGCTCCCCTGGCGCCCCGAGGGCGTGGTGGAGCTGTCGAGGCTCGGCGGGCGAAGCTGCTGCGCCGGCGCCGGCTGCGTCTAGCGCATCTCCCAGCACCACCTCGCCGAGGTGCACAGAGGGCCAAGCGGGCCGCACCAGCACCACCTCGCCGAGGTGCACAGAGGGCCAAGCGGGCCGCACGTCCTCCACGATCAGACGGCTGGGCCCCGCTCTACCCGGGGCCTCATTCTCGTCATCGTCCTCGTACTCCGTGAGTATGTCCCCCAACTGCTGGAGGAGCGTGTCGTCCAGGAGGGACAGCCCCTGCTCCTCGCCGAGGTTCTCGCCTGCCTGCACCCCTCGGCTGGCGCTGTGGACGGGCGGCCCGAGGGGCGGCCCGATGGGCAGCCGTACGGGCTGCATGTAGATGCCCACCATGTACCCCACGCCCGGGTCAGAGGAAGGCCGCGTGCCTCGCCGCGGCACGGGGTTCACGGCGGCCCCCAGTGCGGTGCCGAGAGCGCTGCCCACCGCCGGCGCGAGCTCGCTGAGGTCGAGGTGAAGATCGGCTTCGGCGGGCGCCGTGGGCGGGAAGCTCGGAACAGCCTGGGCCCACGAGGTGGAGGCCGCGTCCAGGGTGGAGCCGCACAAGTTGGGGTACGGGGACTGCGCGGCCGCGGGCGGGGGCGGCGATGGCGCGGGCGGCGACAGCGCGGTGGTCGGGCCAGGGTACCAAGGCGTCGCCTCGGCAGCTGCGACCTGGAAGCCACGGCGTCGGCAAGGCTGTCCTGTTCAAGTATTTCATGTCCCAGGTGGCGAGGTTACTCACCAGGAGCAGCGCTCCAAGCCATGGAGTCATCTTCGGGCTCCTCCGGGTGCAAGCCGTGCGGCGGGCTCTGACTAGGGACTACTGCCAGAGGCGGCGACGTCAAGTCTTTTATATCCAACCCTTCCCTTCCCCGTTCAGGAGTACGGAGGTGCGTCGTGTCGTTGCATCCTCTGCTCCGCCCCCCAGCCAGTCGGATATTACCCCCGGTAGCCGGGTATTCGGG